ATTTCAGTTGATGAAATAGCATCCAATATTTGTGCAGCAGTGAAAACATTTTGATCTGGGCAACAATATAAAGGTAGGAAATAAGAGAGAGAAAGGAAATATAAAGAAAAGAGAAAGGAAAGGAGAACATGTCTTAAAATTAGGTTTCAATTGGGTCACTTGGGAGTCCACCTATGTATATCTAAGAAGCCGATAAAGGGTTTGTACTCTGACTGGAAAAACATAGACTAAATGAAGAAAATGGAACGGAGGATACAGTGTGGCATGATCTATATGAACATTTTCTTGGTTTGCTCCTAGCAAGTACTCCATCCATTTGATAGCATTTTTATTAACCTGATTCTTTAATACGGTTTCCAAGACCTAATATTCATATATAGATTATATAAATCAGGGTTTGTAAGATTTTAGTCTGGGAAAATATTCAGATTTGAATGAGATAATTTGATTTGAATGTGATTTGAATAGAGAATTCAAGTTTATAAGGAGCAAATGTTTCCAGTGATATTATCTGTGCCTCCCTAATCACAATGTGTTCTCTCTTTCTTCTCTGTGCATGTGCAATTTAATGTAATACCTACTCCATACAAGGCTTTTAACACAAAAGAATTTAAGTTAGTGATTACTATCCTCAAATAGGAGATAAAGGTCTCTGTTTCGAAACCATTGGCAAAGGAGCTGGGAAAAAGATCTCTGATTACCCTTTGAAGTTGAGAAAGAAAGCACCTTAGTATAAAAAGCAAAGTGTTAGGTCTAGTACGCCTCTGGTTTCAGATCATAAAATACTTTTGACTTGGGAACCAGCTATATCTGGGTTTGTTGCCAGCTAGCTCTTTCATGCCCACTCACTAGCTGTGTAACTTTGTACAAGTTGCCTAGTTTCTCACAACCTTTGTTTCCCTATCTGTTAAATGAAGTTAAAAATATGTAGCCACAATCACAGTGAGGTGACACATGTGAAAATTCTAGTGCAGTCCCTGACAAAGTAGGCAACAGGGAAATTTACCAGATAGCGAGAATAACTTTGCAATTGTGTACCATAATGTCAGCAGCTTTTCCTGCTGAAGTGAAACGTTTTTTATGTGAGAAGAATGTTTCCTCAGAAGAAAAGATGTTATCATTTAACCTGCTCTTTTTGTCAGTTTGGAAAAGGTTAAACTTACAAAAAATAGATAAATTTCTGATTTATTACAAGTCAGCCTGTCACGTGTTTCCAAGGCCATTCTGATATGAATTTAAACTTGAATTTCAGAGTTGAATAAAATTGTACTTCTGGTTTCTTCCAGCTCTCCAGACAGACTCAGGACACAGTTTAACATTAGAGAAAAGTTTTGGGTAAACCATTTTTACAAGTTTTCATCCGGATTTTTAAATATTACATTGATTGAAATTAAATAGCTACTGACTACAGTCCTCTTAATCTGTCATTTTTCATGGTCATCCCATTAACTGTATCCACAGAAATATATACCATATTTGCTGGCGTATAAGACGACTGGGCGTATAAGACGACCCCCTAACATTTCCACTCAAAATACAGAGTTTGTTATATACTCGCCGTATAAGACTACCCCCTCTTCCGCACACCTTCCACACACCAAATAAAAGGTAAAACAATATCAGATTTGATTTCAACATTTATATTTATATTCAAATGCTTATGACATGCAGGAAAACTGTCACAAGGCTGTATGTAATCAAACATATACATAAATCTGTGTGCGATTTTGCGAGTGTGGTAAAATCGCATAACAGCAAAATCGCATAACAGCCGAGCATACACCCAGCAGCGCTGCTGATGCCTGAACGGTATGTGGAATGAAGTGGGCGGGCATCGGGAGGCCACTATGGCACGGGGCAAGCACTATGGGCAGTCTATCTGAAGTGTACCTGGCATATAAGACGACCCCCCACTTGGAGGCATAGTTTTCAGGGCCAAAAAATCGTCTTATACGCCGGCAAATACAGTAGAGTAGTATATTGTTATGCTTCAAACTTCCTAGAAAATATGTGTTCCATTCCCCAGGAAAAGAAAAATTTCTTTGCAAATGCAGCATATATATGTGCAAGTGTCTGGGTTAAAGAAACTAGTATTGAAATTTAAGTTTTTGTAACATTTACCTTTCTGTCATTCGTGCTCTTCACAACCTGAGTAGATACTGAAAACTGATGTCCTGCTTTTGACTGTACTCTAGCAATGAAAGTGAAAGGAAATCACACTCTCAAATTTAAAGAAAGGTAGTATGCAGATAGCGGAAAAAAAATCTCTCAGTGGTCCCTTTGTGTACAGAGTTTTCTGCTCAATGTTTAATCTTATTTTCAAATGGCATTGTTGAAATGCAAAATAAATAATGTAAAGGAACTGGGAAAGCCACTTGGTGTGTTGTCTCCCAAATGCATAAAAAATATCCCCTTTGTAAGGCGTCTTGAAGAAGCATGTAAATTACAAGGCTGATGAGAGACACTATTGAAAAACTGTGCTGTATCTTCATGTGATGTTTAAGACAATTAACTGGAGGTAACTACTACCCACATTTCTTTCAGAATCATTTCAGAAGATCAGCTAAAAATACTGTTAACTAGAAGAGGCTCAATCTGTCAAAATGTATTAAAGTGACATATCATTAATGCTAGTTTAACCTAAAAAATAAAATTATCCTGTAATGAAATGCTTTATATAAACTCCAGAAAGATAGGAAATTCAGTTCTCTTCTATATTAGCCAGTTTTTGAGACCCACGGTCTTGTGATATAGAAATTGTAATTGGACTCCCTGCAGTGGTTTAGTAATGGCCCCTTAATACTTATCCATAGATGTGTTTGCTTTTGTGAAAATGTCTCAGAGACCTTGAAGTGCCTTTTCTCCAATATGGAGGAAGGATTTGGAAGAAGAAGATGTGAGTAAAAAAAGGGGAATTTATTTTCCTTGCCCATCTCTCAACATTTCTCATAGAAACATAGACATTAACACACACACACACACACACACACACACACACACACATTGAACTGAGGCATGTCTATAAAAGAGCATTTTAAAAGTGACTTTTTGTTTCCAAAATGGGAACATCCAACGCTGAACCCAGTACTACTATTCTTGTATTCAAGATAGTCATCACCTTCATCCATGGGTGTCAAGTCTGTAATTAGGGAGAAAGCCTAGATGATATTGACATGACTTCCAATGAGGACGAAAATGAGATGAAAGTGTCTGCAATACTTTATGTCCTCCTGAAACTTAAAAATGAAGCTCCATCAGACTTTACAAAGATCAAATTGGGAGAAATTAAAAGCTAGCATACTCTCTGGATGATTTATAATTTGACCAAATTCAGTCTTACCTGATCAAATTATTTGAGCCCTGCTCGGAGGCATAAATCATTGAGGAGTTCCTAAATGTCAAGAAAGTGTTTGAGAGTGTTTTCTCTTTATTTCACATGAAAGTCAGAAATAAAAGTGGGCCTTCTTCAAGGAGCAGAGCGTTCATGACTCAAGGATCTTAATGCCTGAGTTCTCAATCAGAGATGGCTCCCCACACAGGCAGACAGGACAATCACCAGAAAACATTATATAAAGTGTGCTTTAACCTAGGAATTGTTTCCCCACCGCCATCTCGTCTCCACCTTTCCTCCTTCCTGCCTTGAGATTCCCTTCATTAGGTAGGCACTTAGTCTCTAGAAGTTTGCTATTAAATATGCTGCCTGGGAGAATATGCTGACCTTTGCTTTAAGGCAAGATTGGGTCATCAGATTATCTAGCTCACACTTGTCATTCTGATACAATAAAACATAGTTAAATTTAATGGAAGAAAGAGAAAATAACTCATCATTATCATTTGAGTTACTTAAAATTATGTTCAAGTATCCTTATTATCTGGCTTTAATTTATATTTCCAACCTGTTTTCCCCTCTTCTTTTTCACGTGTCATTCATTGGCCCTCCAGCTCTTCCTGTTAAACCTGACTTTGCTCATTCTCTTTCTGAAGCCCTCACAAATGCACACCCTTGATAATTTGTCCATTGGCAGAAGAGCTCTCTTGAGACAGCTATGCACAATAAAGATGTTAGCCTCAACGAGCAGTTATGAGCCATTGAGGGGTTCTAGAAGTATAAGACGCATAACTGGAGTGCTTGCCAATGATGGCGATTTTGTGACCCCACCCCAAAGATTCTATTTGGTAGTTCTATAGCAACCCAGAATATGCAATGTTACTTAAGTCCACCAGGTGATTGTCATGCAGGTGAATCCAGGACCTCTTTGAGAAAAACTGCTGTAACAATATCTCCCTTCGCTTTTTAAAATTTTTGGCAAAAGACATTCCATAAAACATTATTTTCAAAACAAAAATGTCAATAAAATTATTATTAATTCTCAGAAATTCCATTTCAGAAACACTATATTGCAGACATTTTATTCCCTACCTCCCCAGCTGGATTTTTCACATGTATTTAGATGGAAGATAGTTAAATGTGGATTAATAAAATTGCTATTAGTCACTTTTTAAGAAAATGTAGGAATCTCAAGACTATGCTATAATTTGCATCACTTTTGTGCTGCCTCTGCCAGCTATGTGGTTAAAAAGTAACAAAACAACCATTTGTGAAAAGGGCGGCGGATTTCAGATGAAAATAATTCTTTTGCAAAACTCAGGAAACGGTATCAGAGCCTGTGAACTGTGCTCTTCCAACTGGAGAATCCTGTATTTGTAATAAATTCCTTTTGCTCTGGATGAGTTCTGCATTTTCAATGAGGTTAACTTGGCAACATTCTAGTTGATTTTAATAAAAATAGCTGCTTTGAGGACAGGGAGCTGAGGTTGCCAAATTTACAGCTGCCTTGCACAATTACTCTTACACCTCCTTCAGGGCTACTTAGAACCAGTAAGCAAATTAAGTGTATCGATTGCAATTTTGTTAGACTAACCCCCCTCTTTTTTTCTTAGGGAATAAACTTTATTCCTTTCAGTATGTGTCTGTTCAGAGTGATCTCTTTTCTTTTCAGCCATAACACAAAGACAACATCATGGCTGGATCCACGACTTGCGAAAAAGGCTAAACCTCCAGAAGAGTGCAAAGAAAATGGTAGGTTATTAAGTTTTTATGGTGTTTCAGCATCGCACATCGAGAATATTTGTGTTTCTTAAAAGAGGGTCTCACCTAAAGCAGCAATAATCGAGTTGAAACAGTTTTAAGGATGTAATATTTAATGCTCTCAGATAGGAGAGAGAATTAGCTCAGCATTTCAGCAGTGCCATGTGGTTTTCGTTTTTCTCTCTGAGGAGACTGTGCTGGGTCTCACATCTCTATCATCTCTGTTGGTTCTGTTTGACTCCTGGCCCGACCTTCCACCACCTACTAAGGACTTTTGTTTGCAGTATGCCTCACTGAGGACTGTGATCTTTTCATTGGAATTAAATATGATATATAGAGAAACAGTATTGTGGACCTATAACATTTGATTTTTCTGTTTTGAGGCATAGTATTATTCTCCTAGTTATTAAGGAATTGGTGATATAAATATCTATACATATGGCTACTTTCTTTTAATCACACATTTAAATAAAATAATTAATTACATGGATGTACGGGGTTACCCTTAGTATTTTCTAGTGCCCAGTGTCAGGACATTAACTTGCTTAAAAATCAACTGTTTTCGTGTATGTGAACAATTTGTTTTAAACAATTTTGAGGATTACCTGAATGTAAACCTTGTCTTTAAATTAGAAAATTATATAGATGAAGTTCGTTGCTGAAGATATTTATAATTATTTTTAAAATATAGAGCTTAATGTTAAAAGAACACTTATAATTAATCTGAAATGATAAATAGCATACTCTCCTGATGATTTATTATTTGGCCACATTTACAGTCTTTATCTGATCAAATTATTAGAGCCTTGTTCAGAGGCATCTATCATTGAAGAACTCTTAAAAGTGAAAAAAGTGATGAGGGGTATTTAAACTTTTTAAAAAGTCTGTAATTCTAAAAGTCCTCTTGTTTTAGCAGTAATTCTGGCTTTCTCAGATAGTATGTAGAAAATATTTTTATTCCTATGTTATAAGGGAACTGTTCATAATCTAGTTGTACTATTGAGTTACATTAAAAAAATGAGAGTATACAATTTACATGTACATATTTGAATGCATAAATATTGAGTTTTTAAGCACTATATTTAATTTTATATTCATAGCTATATCTGTATGCCTTCTGTACAATAGTACAACTGTATGTGTTTGAATTTCATTAAATTATTGTGTGGCTTGGACTTTTGAGCACCATTAGGTTATATTTCATTGACACTATTAAGACATGTGTTGCAAATTGTGATAAGTTATAAATTGAAATGACCTGATCTGTTATATCTGGGAGTTACAATTTACTTATGCCGCAGATGTAAAACCTTAGTATATACTAATTAAAATGAATTTAACAATTTTGCAGTTCTGTGACACATTGAACTTCTCAGCCGTCTTGTTCCTTTGAGTTGTTCTTTTCATTATAAAAGCCTATTGAAGTCAAAATTTAAAATCCTGGGAGAGATGTAAGCATAACATTTTGCATAATTATAATTTTTCTGTGTTATCAGTTTTTCCCACATCTGCACTTATCTGTCCTCTCGGGATGGTAGGTGGCCAAAATATGATGCCAGTGTCTGTGAAAAACATGTCATTAAGAAATGAGTCCTAGAATACAGTCTTATAGCTCAGAGTGATTTATAAACTGGTCAATTACTATTTGTTTTCATTTTCTACAAAATAATTAATTCATGGATTTTATTCCAAATATTATTGGAATGTTTTACAATGGAACGTAATATCTAATTAGTTGGAATGCTATCATTCCAAACATATGTTTCAAGTTTTCTTGCCAAGAGAAGTGCTTTTAGGTAATGCTGTTACTTCTGTTTTATTTTTCTTTACTTTAAATAACATAGATTAAAATTGCTTGTTTGAAATGTTGGATGCTAATGGACTGAGGTTGAACCTGTTAGATTTCTTTGTATGTATCACAGTTCAGCTCAGCTCAAACAAAGTTAGTAGAGTCATTTTCTGAATGATGGAATGTATGTAAATTGTCTATTAAAATTTGTACAGGCTCAGGATGATAATATCTTTCTCCAGTAAAGATAACATCCTTTCTCCTGCCAGGGAGATGGAGTGGAGGCTAATTATCTCAATCCAATCTGGAGCTGAGCCAACATGAGGTTGGGTCAGTGTTGGTAAGACCCAATCTGTCTCTGGTTTGCTCCTTTTCTTAGGGTGTTTGCCTACCCAGGTTTTCAACTAACAGCCTATTGCAGGTCTGCAAACATTTTCTGTTAAGAATCAGGTAGTAAATATTTTAGGCTTTGCAGGTCATGCAGTCTCTTTGCAATTAATTGTTGTGCAAATGCAGCCAAAGTCAATATATAAATAAGGGGCACAGATGTATTCTGGTAAAACTTTGTTTAAGGACACAGGGATTTGAGTTTCATATACTTTCACGTAACAAAATACTCTTATTTTGATTTTTTTCCTCAACCATTTAAAAGTGTATAAACTGTTATTAACTGGCATACCATACAAAAAATAGTGGCAGGCTGGATTTGGTCCACAGAACGAACCATGGCCTACTGGCAGGTCTCACACACCAATATTTTTAAAGTGTTTTTCTTAGTCGTGCAAGGCTGAAAAAAATCTGGGTGTTTTACAAGGGCTTTTCTTAGCATTTTGCCTCTAGACCTTGTAGGTTCAGAATTTAAGAAGTGTCATCATGGGATAATTGGCCATGTGTTTGAGATCTCTCAAGTCTATATTTTGTCACTTCAATCCCGCAAGACTCCTCAACTCCGTGCTGGTTTCTCTAACCCCCAGCAGAGGTCTTCTTCCCAGACCACCTCTGGGTTCTTTCCGGAGCCTGGAATCTACACAATCAGCTACACACTGGTCTCTCACCTCTCCAGGGTTCTTTTCTCCTCAGAATCTTGACAGTCTGTGCCTTTTGTGTTAGAGTTCTCTGATCTCTTTAAATTGCTTACTTTTTACATTTTATCTAGATTTTCTATGTGTTCTCATGGGTTATAACCTGCTGACCCCATCTACTTGGAACAGAAATTTTAGTGCAATGATTTTTAAATTGCACATGGTAGACCTTACTGGGTTGTATCCCATAAATTCTTTATTAGTATTATAATTTACATTTAACCTCTCAAGATTGAATTCCCTGATGTAGTATATGTGTGCATACTATTATGAATGTCTGCATGCATGTGTGTGTGTATGTAAATACGGATCTGTAAATGTACGCTTCTTCATATCTGTTTGCATAGGTGCATAAAGTTAATTCCTTGGTCAACTGTATTAAGAGGAAGAAAAGTGAAAGACAGACGGAAGGAGTATCAACTGATTTAAATTATTCTTGGGCTAGAGAAAAAAAACTAGCAGATGTTTTCTCATTGCTATCAAGGTGGAAGGGGAACGTGGCTCAGTACAAATACATATGAAACAACCACTTATTTTATTCACATAAAGCAATTATTTTGCTTTGTTTTATTTGAAGGATAATACTGCTACTAAACATAAACTATGCTCTCTTCTCTCATAATGTGGTTGGAAATACTGAAGTTATTTTATTCTATGCATTTGTCATAGCTCTGTCCACTTTTGGCATTTTAGTACCAGTCTGCATGGCAGTAAAACGTCTCCACCTATTACTGGATTCTAATATTAGTATTTGGGGGAGTGCTGTTTAGCAAGCCAATGTAGTCTTTTACAAAAGGCCACAGAAATAGCAGTTAACTACTAAGTAATTTGGATGCAAGTTTGGTTGAACTGTGTATAAAGCACCATCATATTTGGCCCCAGCTTTCAGAATCAATACTGTGGGGTTTGTCTGAGACAATTCCAATCACAAACATCCCATAAAAAAATCACTGAGTTAGGGTTAACATCACAATTGATTAAAGCCTGTTAAGACCATTGTTTTCTTAAAGTTGAAAGGTACTTAAAATCAGCAGGACCAGGGTATTTGTATTCAGGAAAGGAAATTGTCAGGGAAAACTCTATTCTGAACCCAAATCTGTGAGCTCTTGGGCAGTTTACTTCATCTCTGGGAGCCTAGGTTTCCTTACCTGTTATTGGGAATAATATCTATTTCATGCAGATTTTGTTTCTCTTACAAGAAGGACAGATTTTTGAATCATAGGCTCTACATAATTGTTCCTTTTCTTTCCTTCTGGTATGCTCTGAGCCAACAAGGTAACTTCATAGAAGACAAAAAGGAAGACATTCAGAATAGTTGGCCTACCCTAAGAACCATGAATTGCTTTAGGGTGTCCTTGGAGAGATGGAAAAGTACAAGCCACATGGACTAAAATTATCCAGCAACTAATTCCAGCCTAATGTGAATAGATTGGAGATATTCCCCTTTCATCCTGTTAAACTGGCTATAAATTTTTATAAAGTTATAATTACACCTGTATGAACTAGGTGGCTTTGTTTCTGTGTTCTACATCTATGAATTGTGAGTTTTCTCACATTACAAAAACAATCCCATAATATTAACCCACTTACCTACTTTTACCTACTGTCAACTGACGTTAACTAAAGCTTTGAACTATTACTTAATCTACCATTTTAAAAAAAGTGTCCAAAGTCAACATGAACACAGACAGCATAAGCTATGCTTTATAATATTTATTAAATGGATTTTTTTTCCAAGAGAAGGGGTTGCCTTTCTAAAATAATAGAAAACAGTAATTAGTTTTGGGTCATTTCTTAAGTGACTTTCATAGAACTGACACACAGATTTGGAAAGCAAATGCATACTTTTCATAATTCAGATTTTGTTTGCCGATGGCATAGTTTATTTCCCCTTAAATAGGGATTTTGACCTGTTTTCTCATTAAGTTTGTATTGATAATTATATTGCATTAATAATCTATTTT